TAGAGCCTTCCTCGATCTCGATGGAGCCAGACCGGGCCACGACCATGCATTTGCCTGCTCCCAAGCAGCGGGACTGCCCCACAAGTCAGGGGTTCTCCCTGCCAATTCTGGCCTCCAGAACATTAACTCCTCCAGGAAATGGTCCTCCTCATCCCCTCCTGGCCAAGGTGCCGTGTCCCTGGACTCCTTCACGCTTTACCACCCTAACATGAGCTCTCGGAGCGTCCATCGTGCCACAAATGGTCCGAGGGTGGGCCCTGGCTGCCAGGCTCTGGAGCGTGGCACTGACAGCCTTTGAGCTCCCCTTCGCTGAGGCTGCCCATTCCTCTCACCCCTACCTCTAGCGCGTCCCCCCACCTCCCTCAGAGCGTCCCTTTCCTCATTTCTGGGGAGGCCCGACCACCCTCCCCAACCTCTTCCCTTAGTCTCCAGCTCCTGGGGGGGACCTGAACCCACGCTGGGCCTTCCCTCCCAGGGTCAAGGCTCCTCCGCTAAAGACCCCTGGGCCACCTTGGGATCCCCAACTCTTCTCCCGGCCCCGACGCCACAGCCCTAGCTGCGCCCCAGGCCCCCACGGGAGCCCAGCTTCCTCTCCTGCTCGCCCCGCAGGACGACAGGGTGACGACACCGCAGTGGCTATGCGGGGTGTGACGGCAGAGCCGTCAGGTCCGGGAACTGAGAAGGGGGCAGGGGCGGCCCGGCGAAAACCCCCAGGAGCCGCGGGGTCTCCGGAAGGAGAGCGTGGAAAAGCACGCAGAGCCCGCCGCGCCTCCCCCCCGCGCCGCCTGCCGGCCCCAGCCCGCGGTTCCGGAAAGTGAACCCCTTGTCCGCTGGGCAGGGCCGCGGCTCCCCCCACCCCGTCGCTGCCTCCGCGCCCCTCCTCCCGTCCCGGCTCCCGGTCGCCTCGGTCCCCACCCCCCGCCTCGCCACTATAAATAGCCCCTCTTCCCATTTCCTAAATTCCCCGCTGACGTCGGCAGCGCGTCAGTGTGTAGGAGCCGCGGCCGCATGAATGAGCCGCCGCACGAGTACTACGCGCGTCTATAAAAGCCGCCGCGCCGGCCGGGCTGCGGGAGGCGACCCCGCAGTGGCGACGCGGCCCGCAGGTAAGCGGGACTGGCCGGTCACGATGGGCAGAGGTGCGGACACGGGCGGGACGGGCAGGCGGCGGGGGGCGGCCCTCAAAGTGGGCACGGGGCGGGCGGGGGGCACCGGGGTCCCCTCACGGCGGCAGAGCCGGGCCGGAGACCCACACCAGTCCGCGCGGCACCTGCCGGCGCCCGATGGAGACGCAGCTACTTGGAGGAGCATCGAGCGGAGGACCGACTTCAGAGACGCCCCCTCCGGCTTTCCTGAGGCTCCCGCGCCATCCTCCCAGGAAAGTGGGGCGAAGGTGCTGGCGCCCCAGGAGACGCGCCCCCTCTTCTCCCTCCCTGCGGCGCGGTGACTCAGCCTCGCTGCCCGGCCGGCTGAGCGGGGGCGCAGGCGAGAGACGGACGCCCACCCCCGCCTCCCGGGCCCTCCTGGGACCCCGCGCCCCGCAGGGCTCCGGGCGCCCCTCCCCGACCGGTCCCGTCCAGCGGGTCCCGCGGCGCCCACGACTTCCCGCCTCTGCGAGCGGAGCTGTCCTCTCAGGACCGGAGGGCGGGGCCTCGCCAGGGGCCGCCCCGCCCCCACGCCCCCCCCCCCGGCGCCGGAAGTGCCCCCGCTGGGACATCTTTGACGTCACGGCCCTCTGACGTCAGCGGCCGCGTGCCTGTCCGCGAGCGCTGGGCGGAGCAGGGCGGGAGACGCGGGGGAGGCGGAGCAGCAGCGCCCCCAGCCGGGGCGACCGGGGCACCCCGCCCGGACAGCGCGCCGGCACCTTGGCTCTAGACTGCTTACTGCCCGGGCCGCCCTCAGTAACAGTCTCCAGTCACGGCCACCGACGCCTGGCCCCGCCCCAGGACTGCGGCCCCGGCCGCTGCCGCCGCGCCCCAGGACCCCCGTCCCCGTCCCTCAGGGCCCCGCCCCCGGGCCGCCGCTGTCCGCGGTGCTGACCAACGCAGGCGCCGCCGTCTGGCCGCCCCGTGCCGGCCCCCAGGGGCTGCGAGGGGCGGTGGCCCACGCGCGCTACTCCACCCCGGCCGCCCCTCCGGCCCCCCGCGGCCCTGACGTCAGCCCGCCCCGCGCCGGCGCCGTCCGCGCGCCCCGCCCCCGCGTCTCCAGGGCAACCGTGGCTTTCGATTGTTACTGTGGGAACTGGAGGTAACAGTCTACAGCCATGGTCGCCCCGCAGCACGCCCACGCGCCGCGCCCCAAGCCGCTGGCTAGGACGCCGAGCAGGAGGAGGCGGGGGCGGCGAGTCAAGGTCCCACGTGCTTGCGCGGGAGGCAGGAGGTGCTGCGCGGGGAGGCGGCCCCAGGGTCTGGCGGCTGCGTCCCCTGAGGCTCGAGCGCGCGGGGCCTGAGGAGTGCGTCCGGCGGCCAAGGTATCCCAGCCAGGGCTCAGCGGGAGAAGGGGTAGGGCTGGGACTCGGTGAGAGGGAAGCCACGGGGACCGGGAGGCTTGGAAGGTTTGTCTCCTGGGCCCTGAAGAGAGTAGAGGGAGGAAAGTGTTATGAAATACGCCACGGCCCGTCCTTCCAGGAACCCCTGGCTGAAATGGGCATTGGGTGAAGATTAAACCGGCAGCCTCACGTCCCTCCACCCCCACTTTTCCTTCTGAGCTAGGAGGCTAAGAAGGGTCTCCAACCCTCTGGAAGCCAGTGAGCTTGTAAAGTTAACCTGGTCAGTGTCTGAACAGCTCAGCATTCTCACCTCAGCCTATCTTTAGCTCCTGGATTTTAATTTTAGACAGTTTCTGAACTTAGCCCTAAAGGAGTGAATACCACAGGGGCTGAAGTCCACTGGTGCGGGTGGAGTGTGAACAAGGACCTCTTTAAAAACTGTGTGTGTCTCCCGCCACTGCCAACATCACCCACCGCAGGGGATGTCTGTTGACTATTAGGTGTGGGACTTCCCCAGAGAATGCTGGGAATGGTTAACGCAACCCAGCCCACCACACTTAATCCACATTTTCTTAGCGTCTCAGGCCTCACCCCGCTGCTGTTTGAACTATTCTAAGACAGCAGGCGCCTGTTAGCTAATCAGCACCCACGTGTTCTCTATCCTCCCACTGCCCCAGGGCCCTGAGGTGTTGCTAATCAACGCGCTCTGGCTTCTGGGTTCCAGTGGAAGTGGGGGTGGGCTGCAGTGCGTGCTGCTGGAGTAGTTCGTTAGGAAGCCGGACGTCCCACCTGGCTTCGTCATCAACTGGTGGTTAAGACCCACGTTGTTGGCCGGGCGCGGTGGCTCAAGCCTGTAATCCCAGCACTGTGGGAGGCCGAGGCGGGTGGATCACGAGGTCAAGAGATCGAGACCATCCT